TTTACAAAAAAGCTTGCAACCGAACAGGTTGACTCTGAGAAAAGAACAAAAGAACCCACTCACTAGCCATCCTCACCTGATGCTTGTTGTATCAGACTTAGGTCGGCTACGCATGGCCATGGGTTTGCTGAGCCAATCATTCAGTGAAGAGGGTTTCCGTCTGATTCTCCGGATTCGGGCTCCGGCTTGGAAAGCGGCCTTCAGACTTCGTGCAGACAGTCCTGCCGCAATGCTTCTGAAGTCGCCTTGCAGTGTGTCCAGCGCAGCAATGGAGCAAGCGAACATCAGCACCAAGAACAAAATGGCACCTGGGCAACCTAAGGTCACTAAAGCCTTAACCCTCTAATGGCAGGCTCCTTAAACTTTCGGAGGCTTTGGAGAATGCCACACAACAGCTGTGCAACCAAAACTATTACTACTGTTTTTGCTGCCACCAGTTTGACGAAAAGTCCTCCTGCTGATGCTACTGCCGCTAGTCCGCCTGCAACAAGCAGTATAACAGCAACAGCAACCGCAACCAAAACCGCAACGAGCCTATGCAATGCGACTACAATCACGACTGCTTTTGCTACTGCTGCTCCTTCCGCGACTGCTGCTGTTACTGCTACTGCTACTGCTACTGCTACTGCTACTGACCACTACAGATGCAGCTACTACGAATTCTACTGCCACCACCCTTAACCCAAAGACTGCCACGACTGCGACGAGGACCACGACGACGACTACGTACTTCAACTGCTCCTCCTCCTACTACTTCAGCTGCTACTGCTATTATTATGCTCTCGCACTCGTTGCGTCCTACTCCTACTGCTACTCCTACGACGACTGGTGCTGCCGCTGCTGCCGCTGCTACCGCCCCAGCTACGGTTGCAGCCACTACGACTCCGAGTACGACGACCACTGCGACTCCTGCTGCTGCTGCTACTACTACGACTACCAGTACTATCATTTCTAGACTAATTGCTACTACGACGACGTCGGCTACTACTGCTGAAACAACAGCTACTGAGTTGACCTCATTTAAAGTCGCTCCAGGCCCGTGCGCTTGCTGAACATCTGCAACTAAAGCAGAACAACTCCGTAGATACATGTGTGCACAGATGTCTTAACGCTAAATCTTTAAACATGAGCTCCGGTGTGTTCGGGATTTACAGCACCTGAGCCATGGAACACAAGAACAGGGCAAGCATACCGAAAGGAGTACGAATGAATAGCCCAGTTTGGGCTCTCGAGGCGTCTAAGTCCTAGGGCAGACAGCAAGGGCACGGTTTAAGTTTGGATTAGACGGTGCTGGATTCAGGGCTCGCTGACTGACCCTATCACATGCACTGCCACACATGGTCTACTACAGTTCAGCTTACAGACGGATAGATAGAACGAACTGAATGAACACGCACACAAAAACAAACACACACACGCACACACACGCACACACACACACACGCGCGCACACACACACACACACTCTCTCTCTCTCACACACACACACACGCACACGATGCATCTACAGTACGACATTGACAAAGCGAGGCAACACAAAAAGAGCCGGTCAGTAAAAGACGGACCAACAAAGTAGGTCGGGTGGACAAATCAGAGCTACCACGCGGAGTCTGAGGTTTAGGTGTGTGTGTGTGTTGCAATACACACACAGACACACACAGACACACACACACACAGATATATATATATATACATACACACACACACATTCAAGCTACATGGCTACATGTGTCCCTGTACATAAAAAGATGCAGGTAAGGGGCCTGAAATATCAGGATCCTGCTGTATCAGGCCTGTGAGTTGTATTCATGTTGAATATCATCACGATTAATCATTCAAAGTACGACTATATATTAGTGAATGCAGGTGCTTCTTGGAGTTACCCTGTGAGCCCAACTCCTGATCCTGATAATCGCTCCGGGCACTCAAGAAGTACAGCAGCTCAGCCAAGACGTGGAAGCAGGTGAGGAAGTAGGAGCTCAGACGCAAGGAGAAAATACAGCAGTCCACCAGAAGCAGCCAGTGGAGCCTGTGGGAGGCAGGCCGTCGAGGAGACGCTGGTCAGTCGGCCATGTTATTCTGAGCAGGTTCAAAGTGCAGTTTTTGTTGAGTGGTATGGCTCCACCCAAAAAGTAATGTGCTCTTGGATACATCTCCTGCCTTAGAGGGCCGGTCCTGTTCAGGATCGCCCCTATTCTCTGAGGCATACATTGCAAACATCGTGAGGACGAAGGTTTGGCCCTAAGACCTCTTGCGGAGTCGTGGAGTGCCCGGCGGCTCGAATCATGCGTCCTGGCTAGCGGAGTAGCCTATATCACGCATTGAAGTTATGCGACTTTGACTTTCCTCTTGTGGGTCCCGTTTTGTTGGAATTCTACCGGCATGGGAGCCTGCGTTCAATGAGTCCCCGCGTACATGACTCGCAAGGTAGTTCGCCGATGTGTAAGGCACAGAAACCTATCCTACAGCCCATCAAGCCCTGTCCAACCTGGCTGGTTGATCACAAACATCCCAGTCCTGCCTTCCTAACAGAATTCTACTACCTTCTATTTTAGAAAACCCTTACATCACGTGTGTCTGTGTCCCAAACCGCCACCTCATCATAACACCAGCATTACTTCTTGACTCTGAGCGGCAACACTCCGATCTGAGAGAAGACCGAATATACCTTGCTTGCAAAGAGTGCTTCAGCTCCGCTGGTTCAGGCACTTACCGGTTTTGGGTTCGAACTGAGACACAGGAGTGAAACAGAGAGTATGTCGTTGCGGGTCAAAGCCGAAGCTGCAGAAAACAGAAAGGGTGTTTGGATTGGCATCAAGTCCGTTCGGGCGATGAGAGGATAAGCCCTATGCACGTTACATCACGGAATCGCATGCCGCAATGCCGGACAGGCTGTTGCTAGAAAGCCTTGGAACCCTACACCTAAACCAGTCCTTTTCAGCCTGGGTTTGGCTTGGATGCTTTGACAGCGCATACTCCACAGCAGCAGGGCCTTCCCTGAACCAGTCTTAAACCCTAAACCCCTTCATCCCTCGCACCTGCATTTGGCACCTCCCCCGACCTGCTTCACAGTGCAACATCAACCTTAAGATCAATCAATTCCGACACTAGTCACAAGGTTTCAGCACTGGTATTAGTATCACCCTGCCGAATCTTCCTAGAGACTAAGCTTCAAAACGTAGCACTGCTTGTTCCCCCAAGTGGTATTTACTACTTACTCAAAAGAGAGTCGCCGGGCCTGGCCCCCCCTAAGCATCGAACCTCCCAAAAATACCAAGAACTGGCCATAGCTGCGGTGGTTTGGCCCTGCGCCTCCGGACAGTGAGTCGAGAAAAGACCTGCACCCTCGTAGATTCCATGCCTGGGGCTCCCACGGCTTTCAGGGTTTAGGGTCTAGAGCAGTCTAGGGCTGTTTGCTTAGGGTTCCAGCTGAGTTTTCAAACCGTTATCGCAATTCCTTCTGTGGTTGCACACATAGTGGAATTGATTCATTGATGGTGGGAGTAGTGATGGCTAACATCTTGTAATAGTGATGATGACAAGCATGAGGCACAGCGCGCGCCGGCAGTTGTGATGATCGTGTGTATTAGTCTTGCATCTTGGTGGCACTTCTATTCTGTTGGCCAGGATGTGCTGCTTAAGTACTGACATGTGCGACAGTTTGGGTATAGTCTGCGATTGTACATCCCAGTCCCGGGGTTACAGGTCGAGTTGGAGAGCAAACCATTCGTGAGGCCCATGTCTGGGTACTGTGGGGGGCCTTACAAACCCTGTGAGGTCCGGGGCTTTTGCGCTTTGGGATTTCCGGTTTTGGAGTCTTGCAGATTGGGCAATCCAGGTTTCGAGGGTTTCGGACATTTCGCAAAACCAACCAGAAGCATGAGGACTACTGCCCCCACCAAACATGCCTGATTGGAGCTGCAAAGCCAATCTCCGACACCATGCTATCGGCACTGGAAGAACAAAGTACGTGTCATTGATGTGAGACTCGCTATGCTGTTTCACGCCGAAGATGAAGGGGCGCTCCGGATTAGGGTTCCAGGGTCTGCGTAGGAAGAGCGCGATGTCTCAATCCTACGATATCTAGATGAAAACTTCGTTGCGTCAACCTCTCGCTCATCACAGTGCGTGCGCCGCCGGGCCATGACCAAAAACATGCACTACACCTGTGGGCCAGAAAGACTGTTACCACCCCTTTCACCTTCTCTTGCGACCTAGGCCAGGCACATGTTGGCCAAGCAGTGAAAGATGGGCTCCTGCGTGCACATAAACCTCAGCTGCTATTTTGACGGAATTTTAAATTGAAGTTCGTGATTTCGAGTCGTATTTCGCGTCTTGACTGCGTGTCGCAGTCTGCTGGAAGCTCTCCTCTACTGTCCACTGACGGAGTACAAACTGCCTCACAGGTACGCAATGCGGGACATCACGATGCCAGCTCCAGCGGGGATTTGTTTGATCATGAAACGCTGTGCCGATGCGCATTGTGTCCAGCTCGCGGACAAGTAGACTCAAAGCCGCCTAGTTTGCAAGCTGTACCTGGTGTTTGGGCTTCACCTGCGACGCTTGTCAAAGCCCGCGAGCCCTGCAACCTTACGATAGCTCGATTACAACCCTAACCATACAGTAAGAGCTACCGCGCTTCTTTGCGGGCTCCTTGCAGAGTTCAACACACTGAGATGCCGCATCTGTGATGCTGAAGCGATTCGGTTCCTGAGGCCGTTCCCAATTTAGAACCAAGCGCGGATGTCTGAGTCACATTCCTAAGCTAGGTTGCTCGAAGAGGTGTAGGGCTTGAAAGCCTTCCATAGGCTAACTCAGGCCTGAATGGCCCCATCGCCACCTTTCGATAGACCATCTCAAACTCGCACTTCAACCACGCAAAGTGGCAAAATGGTCGACGCTTGGGCGCAGCAATGTCATGTCATATTGTGTGTGAGTGTGCTTGTTTTCTTCTATTTCTTCTTCTACGATATTCTACGACTCCGGAGCGATAGCTGTAATTACAAGCCAAGCAGCACTAGATCGATGGCCATGGCCAGCTGTAGAGCAGAGGCGAGGTCTTTCAGGTAGGCCGGGCAAGGTATGCCGAGCACAAAAATGAAGGAGCGCTCTCGGATGTCAGTGACGATGTACTTGATGTGGGCGCAGAGAAGCAAGAACATGTCAAACAAGTAGATCGAGCAGCGGCCTCAGAATCAAGTTCAGCAAGGCTGCAGTAGTAATCGAAGCACTGGCATGGTGGCACTAAGCAACTTGAGTAGGGTTTTGGCTTGAAGCTCCGGTGGGTTAAACGGTTAAACTACAGACACCTGAACGGAAGATACGGGCGGGGTAGGACAACATTCAAGCTACTGGAGAATTTTGCCTTGTCCTTCTGAGTTCTTGTCTGCGTCTTCCGCTTACTTGATGCTTGCCTTCACAACGCATGATTCCGTACATTGCAGATGCTTGCCTTAACAACTCATGACTCCGTACGTTGCAGATGTTTGCACAACTCATGACTCCGTACATCACAGAGCAAAGCCAAGGCCCGGACATGAGAAAAGCAGAATTCGAAGTGGTTCCGACTCCCTCTTCGGTGCCACGCGCGGCAGGATGCTCTGGGCGAGCACGAAAATGACCACTTGGATCATGAAGAGGACCCTGTGTTTGCAGTCTAGTGTAGTGGTCTACATTCTAGACGTGGTCGAGATAAGATAGATGCAGACTCTTCGTGGAACTTTCGACATGGCCTCACCATCTCGGCGATAGCAAGAGTACTGAGTATGAGCCGGGGCTTAGTTTAGATTTGTACCAAGCTCAATATTGCAAGTACTTCAAGGTAACCATACAAGCAAACAAGGAATTCACGCCTCCTACTGCCGCAGGGATCGGCAGGGCTTCGGTGATGAAGCCAGCCAAATTGCTATCAGGTCTACTACAGGGGTGATAAGAAGGGCTTCTGGGGTTGCAAGCGGGTTTTAAGGGTTCAACGAAAAGGAAGCGACCGCTCTATGTTTGGGAACCTAAGGCATGAGTGGAAACGTTTCGTGTGCGGATTCAGCATAGGGACACCTCGTCAACCGCCATAAGGAAAAGCCTTCTATGCATATAGACAAGCTACTGAGACTTGGCTGTAACATGCTGTAACCTCACATGATTATTGGTATTACCGTCGCCATTCTTGCTATGTCTATCATCAACATCAAAACTCGCACTATAAGCCCTACATTAGAAGCTAAACCCTAAGGCCCTCTGTTGACATAAGTTGCTGGGACAAGACAGAACATCCCAGCTTTGGCAAGGCCTGCTCTTCAGGAACTCAATGCTGGCCAGGCGTGACCAGAGCATGTTAAAAACAAAGCTCACCACTGGGTGGCGCATGAGCTTTGGGTCCTTAGCAGTGCAAAACAGATAGAAAGGGGTGATAGTTGTTATCAATGTGTCAGATAGATGGTGGTGATAGTTGTTGCCAATGTGTCTGAACTGTGAAGCTGGTGATGGACAAAACGACCGGGATATGGTGGGTTGTGCCACCGTTCGCCAACGCTTGCTCTTTGCCCAGCTCTCGCCGAAACGTACCCTGCGCTGATTCTCATCAAGCGGCCCCGGTCTTAATTATCACCGAGATCTGCTTGGCATTGAAGAGGCCCTCTTGATCTTGGATCAAGTGCTTGACATAGTAATTCACGCGCCTCCTTGAATTGCGAGAGCGGCTTAGGTTTTGAATATGTAGTTTACATGCATATATATATATGTATGTATGTATGTATGTATTTACGTATGTATGTATGTGTGTATGTATGTACGTATGTATGTACGTATGTATGTGTGTATGTACATATATATATATATATACATATTCATATAAACATATATACACATACATCGGATCTACAGGATATAAGAGCTCTGGTACAGGTATGTTAGGGGCCTGCGATTTCGGCTCTGGCTTGTTGGTGTGACATTAAGGTGCTGTGCAGACTTAGATTAGGTCCAACACCCCTGAAGCTGCAACAGAACACCTGTGTCACGATTGCCGTGTTCCCTGGCGGCTCCAGTTTCGTTACATGGCATGTTACTCATGTGTATATAGGTGTATGTACAACATATATAATGTGTATATATATATTTTTTTTATTTCTGCGTATGTATACGTGTGTGTTGCACGTATGCGTAACAAATAGTCTGTATGGAGGGAGCAGGCGCTCGACCAAGCAAAACAGACTAGAGCGCACAACCATAGTCTTGCTTCATGTGGACCTCATACAAACGCAGGTCTTGTTAGCTGGCATCGATACATCCAAACCTTAAGTTGTCAGAGAGTGGGTCGCTGCTGCCCTGAACCAGCAGCCGAGACTCGTCTTGTTCTGGGTTACCTTCGATCTCCAAAGCAGGCCTCAGACAAGTTTTGCGCATCTGCAGTCGTCCTCCTCCATGCCGAGCATCCCGGAAGCCAGCAGAGTGTCAACTTCGGAACTCTCTTGCAGCACCACCACCATCATCAGCATCTACACCATCATCAGCGACATCAAGACCTTCATCTCGAACGGTACCATGGACCAACATGGGGGTCCTCATCGTTTGGCCCGCAGTCGTCAACATCGCTATCATGCTTTGCCATAATCTATCATAACCTGATATTTTGTTACAATTAACATCATCATTAAGCCATCAACAGCAGTCACACAAGTGCCATCGTCATCGTCATCCACCACTTCCTCATCGGCCTCACCAACAGCAGATGCACCGGTCAGCAATCTGCTCGAAGGACGGCAATACATTGAAACCACCAAAACAGTGTTTTTTCGCAGCGGCGGCAAACCACAACCCATCAAGAGCGCAAGACATCGTACTAAACATCGAGGTGGTGATGTGCTTTTTGTCATTCCTGTGCGGAAAAGTGACACGAACACACTCAATTCGAAACAGTGGGTAGCGCATCTCCACTCTTGGCGAGATGCCATTGAGTAGGGCTGGAAGCAGCCCCTGGCCCCGTGTGGCACCTCAGCTTGCAACTATGCCTTGGCACCAGCACCCGTCGTCTTGTTGGTCTTGCTACTTGCCGCCGATGCTTTCCTTCCTGTTTCAATGAGAACGATTTCGGCATGAATGTCAAGCTTCTATCTGACACGGGGCATGGTTTGGGCTCAGGCACGATGGACAAGCTGAGGCCGTTAGCTATGCGTTATGCGGCAAGCTGGCCATACTGGACCTTTGCAGCAACCCTACAGCATAAAGCTTAATTCCTACATCCTACACCCCCTGAGGCTCCAGCTAAGGATGTTCAAGATGTCAGGATGTCGCTCGAAGAGCGCATCGTAGCCTGGACACGAAGGTCCCACTTTTACAGTTTATGGTTTCGGGATTGGGGTACTGGGGAATCTGAAGAAGGAAGCCGTACCTATTCTGGCCCACTGTTCTTAGAGAACTAGAGTTGTCGGTAAACAAATGGGCAAGACCGACTCATGGAGAGAAGAGAACGGAGGATACCAAGGGGCAATCACCAAAGTGAGAGAGAGAGAGAGATACACACACACACATACATACATATATATATATATTGATATTGATATTTATGTTTATATTTATATTTATACATATACATCAACAGACCCGCACATGTTTATGCGAGTAGATTGTAAAATTATATACAATTTTTGAATGCATACACAGGTACAGATGATATAGCGACCTAGTACAACATACATCTCCAAAAGGCTCAGGTGTTGCTCCAAGGCTCCATAGTAGTAGTTGTCGCGGTCGGCACCTGCAGATTGATAATATGCGTTTCTTGTTTTATAACATCGGCCTTCCTTTGTTCTCTGCAGCAACATTAGAAGGCTTTTTTGCCTCCCACCTTGCTAGGACGAATCTACGGCAGGTTTCCGGTTTAGGCTTTCTCGGCAGGAGATTCAGAACAGATGAGCTCAGATGATGACTAAGTCTTAGAGCTCTCTGTGTCCTCCAGCCGGGGTTCAGGGCGCATATCTATTTAGCTGCTACACAGACACACAATCACAACGAAACAGGTGCAGTCTGCGCACATGTGCTAGGACTGACAGCGAATGTCGAGCTGCCGAATAGGATGCACTACTGAGCAATTAAAAAGTAAGATCAGACACACCCCCAGGCCCGAATCCAAGGCCCTTCCCCATGCGGCAAGGCGCGGATGGTCAGCAAGTCGTCGATCATCGCGCGGGCGACTTGGAAGCTGCCACTCCTCAGCAAATGCTTATGAAGGGTGCATAACTCGCCTATTTCGTTTCCGCAGTGGAAACTTCCATACCTCTAGTCTATGAACCAAAAACGTCCAAACAAACAAACATGCTAGTAAACCATACATAAACAGCCTTGTTTATTCGTGACAGTATGTGTTTTTGCATTCAAAAAACCTATACATATAAATATATATATATATGTGCCTATCCATCTACCTGTCTGTATCTATTGACTGGCTGATTGATTGATTGATTGATTCTTTGGTTGGTTGGTTGGTTGGTTGGTTGATTGGTTGGCTGTTTGGCTTGTTGGTTGGTTGATTGATGATGATCACGGTGGTGGTGGTGGTGGTGGTGGCGGTGATTATAAACACATGCTTGTAAAGACTGCGTCTGTGCATATGGGTACACATACGTATGTGTGTACCACCCGACCCACCATGCTCTCAGCCCTAGCTAGACAGCTAGGCCCTAGCATCCCTTCACATGCAAAAACTCCGGTATTTGGAGACCATGGGGCCGGCTAGTGGGGTCGCGGAACCGCCAACAGTCACAACAAAACTCAACTCGTCACTGACCGAGTATGGCGTGTGCGACTGTACAAGGTTTTCTTGTGGTGCTGTTAGCATAAATATGCAAGCTTGATTTGTTTTTTGCCATGCTTGCTGCAATAATTCTTAATTTTGTTTCTGGCCGAATAATGTTACTACCAGTACTACCATGAAACGCAATTACCGGATGTCGAACTCAATTAGCGGGATCCTTGAACGCTAAAGGCATCAACCACACTTGCCCACCTGGATTTGTCCATGTAGTTAAACCCTAGCCCTAAACCCTAGACCCTAAAGTAGAACATAGACAATCATCTCATAGACCCCTGAACCCTTAACCTTGTCACTTGCATATTCGGCCCGCGATACTTCCGCAGGAAACTGCAGAAAATACACACGCCGTGAATTCGACCAAAATAAACAGGGGCCATAACAATCTAGACTCGGGTTTTGGTGGTATGTCATACTTTAGTTCTTGAATAAGTCACTCGAGGAAAAATATCGGTAATTACTCAGGCTTCTAAATCAATTGTAGTCAGACAGGTGTAGCCTGAACACCGTGAGTGGAGGTTAGCGAATCAAGAATACCAGCGACAATCAAAAAGTGCAGGGAGAGTATTTTTAGCTAGCTAGTAGCCAATCAACATTTTGCCCAAGAGTCTTGATCGCCCAGTCCAGCGGAGAGATGGACTGAGTGCCGACCTTGTAGTGGGCATCTAACTGGTTCTGCCGCTGCAACCACTACTACTACTACTACGACGACGACGACGACGTCGACGACGTTGCCTATGAGTACCACTACCAGCTGTCGACTTGTGCCGCAACTGGGCTTCCAATTGATTCCCCATCTTTAAGCAGGCTGGCACATGTTCTAAATCCAGAAGGTAGTTCTCATGTCGAGTTTCCTGTTCACTAGTTCACGGGATTCTGAGGACGCAGGTCTGCCTTTTGGTGATAGCCGGAAAGCAAGCTCCGATCAGAGTGCCGAATTCTGAACATGCATCTGAAACATGGTTTGACTTCATGCTTCTTGTAGCACGGATTTGCTTTTTTTGTGCACTGCTGCCTAGGGTGCTGCTGGTTGCAGGTTGCAGCAGAACCTCATTCTTGTTATTGATCCTCTTCTTAACCGTTCTTCAGCTCTTATCATAGCACCAAAACTATCAGTACGGCTTGTTGTGCTGATTACATGTTGTCATTTTGGTATCACTTGCTGCGATGATGTCTATGCTACCGGCCCTTTCGGGGTGAATCTAAAATGATCCCGACGACCAGTGGAAGCCATTGGCTCTATTCGGTTGAGGCTTCAGCCACTGCAGAGCAATCCTGACTCCGTTGCTCTGACTGGCCAAAATTGCAGCACGAATGTGTGGATGCTCCCACCGTTTTTGCATTACACGCCGGACATGGGAGCTCTGATCCCGACAAGCAGTGGTGCTTAAAGACTCAGCAGCAGAATCCTGAAAGCTACAGCTAACTGAACAGAGAAGGAACTGTGATCCGAAGCATCTCCATCGCTCGCTGCGATCTTCCGGAGATTGCAATGGCCTCGGACGTTCGGAGAGTCTATTGCTGATCGATTTGCCCTACATTGGCCCAGAGTTTTGGCCGA